ATCAGGCTGGAATGAAGGTTCTAGACTGGTCTCCCCAAAGTCCTGACTGAAACCATCAAGAACCTGTGGACTGATGAAGAAACAAGCCTGAGTCAGAACGACTACAAGTTTAGTTGAACTGCAGCGATTCTGTCCAGAGGAGTCAAAGATGAACCAGAAGCTGGTGGACGGAAACCAGAAGAACCCGACTGAGAAGGACACGGACGTTTAACCAAATGTTGAGATTACTGTTTGTATATTTTTGACCCAGCAGATTTTTTTCATGTTTCCAGAAAACCTTTAACTAGTCTATGAAAGAACTAAAATGCAGGATTGTTTTCTTGTGACAAAGATTCATGTTTCAGTGATTCCAACAAAGACAGTCAGAAGCTGCAAGAATCACTGGGAACTGAACATCTGCTCATCTCGTCTCTGTAACTCTTTTGTTATTTGAACCATCTAAAGATCAAATATTTGGGCGTTTGGATCAACGAGAAACTCACTTTTACTCTTTTCATTTAACACTGGTTCTTTGTAGTTGCGCTGTTACAGAAGTCTCAGCTGCAGAACATCCTTCTGACTGCAGTGAACACGATGCTTCAGTTCACGTTACAGTAGAAGACAAAATGCCAGAGACCTCAGTGGTGGCAAACACTCGCCATAAATAATGCACGATGATCTGCGCTCCCAGAAATAACCCAGAGATGACGTTTAAAAGCCTCCTAGAAAAGGCAGAAAGTATTTTGTAGACGCAGTGTAGCCCTGCAGTGTCTCCTGAGTGACTCTGTCCAACCTTCCAGATGGGAGGGACGCCCTTTGGAGGTCTGGGAGCTCCCAACATGGAGCAGATGGCCGCCATGGGAATGCCAGGACCCAACATGAACCCCCAGGTGAGGGTCGGTCGCCTCCGCAGTTACATAATGTCAGAAAAGCATATTTTCAACATGAATGGTGGTGACATCCTCCTGTTGTTTCCTCTCCAGGCTCTTTCTGCAGATTTCCTGAAGCTCATGCAGTCGATGGACCCCAAGTAAGAAACTCCACACAGTCTCTGGCAGGTCACACAGCTCAGTGTCTTCTGGAGAAACGTCTAACTGATCGATGCTGCTTGCAGATTGAACCCGTTAGCGGCTGGACTGAACCTGAATCCGGGGCTGAAGACCGACGCCTCCAACAAGGAGATCGAAGAGGCCATGAAGAGAGTCCGAGAGGCTCAATCTCTTATTTCTGCAGCCATCGAACCTGGAAGTGAGTGTTTGTTGACGCGCAGGTCACAGATTGACCTGTAGAATCAATTTATAGCACATTATAGGTGGTTAAACCTACTGTTTATGATCCGTGTGTGTGCTGGAGGTCAGCTCAGCGATCTGTGGAGCTTCTGTTCCATCCTCAGAGTTTCCTGCCCGGTAAATGTACAACTTTGTCTTTACTTTCACAGATAAGAAAGACGACAAGCGCAAACATTCCCGCTCCCGTTCACGGTCACGACGCCGGCGCTCCAGATCTCGCTCCAGACACAGGTGAAGAAATAAAGAAGATTCATACGACTTGTTTAACCGGCAGCTTAAAGACAAAAACATCCTTGTCATAAAACTGCTATAAACATATTTTACACTTAGATGTTTCAATCAGTCCTGATCATAGCTAACAAACATTGATTCATTCTCTTGATTTTAATCTTTGAACTCTAGTTTGTTTACTCAAAGTCAAAATATGCAAAAAGTAGATTTCTGCATACAGTAAAGGCTACATTTGTTTCATTGATTGTCAGTGTGAGTTTACACTTTATTATATTTTGTGCCGTCACATTTAAAAAGAAAAAAAAAAGACAAAAGTAGGTTTTTTTGTCATCAGATTTTTTTTAACCAACATCAACTATGATCATATATATTCATTAATTTAAGAAAAAGAAAACAAACATTTATGTTGTTTCCAGAGCACCACTGGTGTATTCATGAGAAAACATTTAAGAATGATTTATTCTAAATAAACTCAATGCTGAGAGGATTCTGGTGTTGGTGTTAAGAACCTTAACCAGGATCTTAAGGACAAAAATACCAGGGTCAGAAAATGTCATATTGTTTGATTGTTTACTCTGTTGTTGTTTTTATGCAAAAACACGAAACAGTTCTTCATGTGATGAAATTGAAATATGTTTAATGAGCCCAGAGTGAGATGTGTTCGTGGTCAACACTGATTCTGATGCATTTATTTATTAAGCAGGTGGATTCTATAGAAACACTGAGAACCTTCAGGACAAAACCTGCTCTAAAAATATAACATAATAATGTTATTTATTTTTAAACTTTAATAGAGTTAGTTATGATCAAGACTGGGGGAAAATCTAGTAAATATTTACAGATTTTTAGGCCTTTAAACTTTAAAATGTCAGATTGTTTATGTAAGAAAACAAATCAACCAAAAAAATCTATTTTCTTTTTAATAAAAGCCTTTTTTTGGGGGGTGTTTAGCACCAACGTTGACTCTGATGTGTTATTATTGTTGTTTAAGTTTTTATTTCCAATCTGACGGCACACTTTAAGGGAACAAACTACGAGTTAACAATCAGAACATAATGTGTTTAATTGATCCTGTACTGAAATGTGGCTCTTGTCGATCGGAGCAGACGTTCGAAGAGCAGATCTCGGCGTCGCTCTCACTCGAGGAGTCGGAGGAGGTCCAAGAGCCCACGGAGGAGGAGGTCTCACTCCAGAGACAGAAGCCGTCGCAGCAGATCCAGGTGAGGACACCTGAACACCTGCTCAGGTGTGTTCATTCACGCTCTGTTTCTGCCGCTGACTCGGGTGTTTCTTGTGTCCTGAACAGGGACCGCAGGAAGGAGGAGAAGTCCAAGAAACGGTCCAAGACGCCTCCTAAAAGCTACAGCAGCGCCCGGAGGTCTCGAAGCATCAGTCGGTGAGCAGTCTGGATACAAAACTGTTAGAGCTGCAAGATATTAGAAAACACTGAGTGCTTCTGGGATTATTCATCCAAAAGATGCAAAACTGTCAGCAGACGACTTGAATAATTCTATCTGGACATAATGAACGATCCTGGAGGGATTGTGCAGGAGAGAAGATCTGCATTGAAGTCAAAAAATAATTAGAAAAATGGCTTCACTGATGGTTTAACAGTCCTGATTCAAACACTGTGGATCAGTGTGAAGTTTAGTTTCTGGATAAATCGATGAGAAATGTCAGAAAATGGTGAAAGTATCCATCAAATGTCTTGTTTGGTCCAAAGACGTTCAATTTACTGTCATAAAGGAGGAAAGAAACCAGAAAACATTCACTGAAGCAGCTGAAATCACACAACTTAGACTGAGTTTTCTTTAAAAATCACTCAAACCCATGAATCAGAAAAACTGGTTTTGGTCGACATCAAAATATATAAAATACAGTTGATTTCTTTTTGCAACCAAATTTTTCGTCATCAGTGTTTTTCTTCTCTGTTCATGTCGCTGCTCATGTGGAGCTGCAGGTCGACCAACTGTCTGATCCAATGTTAGCTTCTGGAGCTCAATGATGGAAAACTTTAGCTGCAGATCAAACTGTAGTCTGATGAGTTGGAGCTCAATCTTTCATCCTGACTGAATATCTTGCAGCCCTAAAGACGATGATGTTGAAAGACGAGCACACAGTCGATTCTGACGTTGGTTCATCAGCGGGTCGGTTCAGCGTCTATAACAAGCGTCGTTTGTGTTTCAGGAGGCACCGGCGGAGTCGCTCTGCTTCTCGCTCTCCCCGGAGGAGGCTGTCCAGGTCTCCGTCGCCCAGACGGTCCGTTCACCAGCTCAGCGCTCAATCTGGAACGTCGCGCTCGTTGTTTAGGCGCCAGCAGCTGACTGTCTCTTGTGTTTCCAGCCACAAGAAGGAGAAGAAGAAGGACAAGGAGCGCGAGAAGGAGCGCGAGCGAGACCGGAGGGAGGACCGCGACCGCAGCCGAGACGAGCGAGAACGTTCCACCAGCAAGAAGAAGAAGAGCAAAGACAAAGAACGTGAGCGAGAGCGGAAGTCTGACAGCGAGAAGGGGGACGTGAAGGTTAGCCAGGTAAGCTACAGACGACTTCCTCCTACAGTAACACCACTCAGACTCTACAGGGTGAAGTTACCCGAATGATTTAAAGATTAAAACCTGACAGCAAATTACAAAAACACAACTGATTCTAATCATACAAGACAATAATATAAACGACCTGAACATAGTGAACATGAAGGATTACATTTCTGCTCCAATTATTATTTGTTTTAGGGGTTCAAGTTTTATTTTATAATAAGGATTAAAAGAATATAAATATAAAATGTCATTTTACTTGACAGTAACAAATATTAAGATGTAAAACCCAACTGAACCGTACAAACAACATCTACAAACTCATCTTAAATACGACTTTAAATGACGATAATAAATATTGGGATTAAAACCGTACAAAGAAAATCATAAAATCAGACTTTAAATATAAAGAACTGAAACCTGACATAAAATAAATATTGTAGTAAAGTATTATTTTATAAATATTAAGGTTTAAAACCTTTACAAAATATAAAGTCCTACTTTATAAATAATAAAACTGTACGCAAATATTTTAAAATCCAAATAAACCTAAACAAAAATTCAATAAAATCCAGATTTACCTGATTACAATAAATTAAACATTTAAAATCCTCTCAATCACACAGTTTTGTTTTAATTCTGTTGTAAGAAACATTTATTTGTAATTTCTTTTATTTCTTAATATTGTTTATTATAAATGTAGCCGACTGTAATAAATATTACGGATTCAAACTGGAATAATTTAGAACTAAAGTTAAGAATCCACAGAAACATCCGTCCACTGTCAACAGCTTTTGGTTTTATTTCTGTTATTCTGTTTTATGTTGCTGTAGAGCAGAGACATTCTCTAGATGTTCTCTAGACGTTCTGAGTCAGAGTTCATGTTCAGGTGCTAATCAAGCGGCTGTGATGTGTTCAGGTGACCCGTGACTACGACGAGGAGGAGCAGGGCTACGACAGCGAGAAGGAAGGCGAGGAGGACGACGACGAGAGGAAGAGCGACTCGGACTCGGCGTCGTCTCCCAAAGGCCAGGAGGACCTGGAGCGAGCCGAGGTCCAGAACCCCAAAAAGTCCAAACTGAACGGAGACGACCACCATCAGGAAGACATGGAGATGAGCGACTGAGTTTCCCCCCACTGTCCTTTTTATATTTTTAATATCGGCCACAACGTGTCTGTGCCTGATCACGCAGCAGGTCTTTGTCTTAACTGTAGAAGGATGTAGGAGGAACACTTTTGTAAAGACACGAACATGAATAACCTGGTTTTAAACGGTCATCGCTGTACTTTTTTAAGGTCTTTCTTTCTGTTGCCTTTGGTTCAGACTCGGTCTCCCTGACGGTTGAAGAGTTTCTGTGGTCAGGACTCTCTCCTCACGCTGCACCGGGTTCACTCTGAGTTCTGCTTTAACTGTGACGCACCCAGTCGTGTTTCATCCGCCGACCTTCCTCTTTCCAAACCTTTCTAAGTGTAAATTGTAGATTGAAATGTGTCGTTGCAATGAATACGTTGTCTGCAATAGGTTTTCCAAAGGAAACAAATAAAATTGGGTTAAAATGTCGACGTGTTGTCACTGACGAGCATATCACAGTTCTGCATGTTGTGGATTAATTTCACTTCCTGAACATGTTGTACATCTAGACACTACACAGATAACTATAGAACCTGAACCAGAAGTCCAGCTGCTCTCTGTGAAGCTCCAAGGATCCAGTTTGAGGTTTAGTTCTGCTGGAGGGTCGACTTCACCCTGTGGAGGCTGAAGGTAACTCTGTCCGGTACACGTCTGAAAGTGAACTGGCAAATCTAAACCAGCTGCGTAAGTGATGGTGTGTAGACCCTCCAGCTTGCCGTGCTGAAATAAGTTTTCAACACTTGAGGATAAAAAAAATAATTAAAGC